TGTGATCTTCCTGAACGTTGTGGAGTCAGGCCCCCTACTGACAGCATCAGTCAATTACAGACATTGGCGGTTCCACTGAGATTCATTCCATCACAATCTGGTGGGGACACAGGAGTCTGGAGTTCTGAGCAGGGTGCTTTCTTACACTTTCTGGTGCCTATGTTGCGTCCTTCCCACCCAGAACATATCTGAGCCCTACCAAAAATGCTAACACAGGAAGCAGCTTATCCAGTAATTGGTTTAAATGAGTTTGTCAGTCTTTCATCCAGTGTGTCTTCCTAAGAAGTTAACACTCCCCAGGAACTAGAATAGGAATTTGAAGAAGAGAGAGAACTCATACAGGTTATAGGATGCAAGGGGGAAAGTTCACCTTTTCTCTGTTGTTAATGTTACACTTAATGCCTCCATTTCCACTTACTACTAATTATAATAGCTGCTGTGAAAACTGCCTCTCAGTCTTGGGTGCAGTAAGACATGGGTAAGGGCTCTGTTAAGCCGACTCCACAGGTTGCTGTTGTAGAATAACGCACCGCACTACAGTGTTTGTCTCCTTCAGAGCTCACTTTAAGAACTCCAGAACACTCTCCACTCTCTTAAGAGAGAATTCTCCAATTGTCCGCAGACTCAACCCAGGCTAAAGCCAAGTGTTTTTAAGGGCCATAAGGGAGGAGGAACTTGTGCAGGGAATGTATCCACTCACATGTGCGTATTTGTGTAGGGAGGGTGATAGTTACAACCTTAAAGTTCTCCTGGCCCCCGCTTTCCTAGGAGTATATTAAAAAATAATAACCGCCACCCCAGCGTGGCTGCGCCTGAGTTTCCGACTGCCTGAAAATAGCTACCGGGAGCCTGGCCCACCGCTGGGATCAAGGAAAGCTGCTCCTGGCAGCGCCCTGCTCCCTCGCGGAAGGGGAAGGGAACCCGGGAGGGCGCCACCGAGCTAAGAGCCGCTGCTATTTTGGGCCCAGCCCCGCGGGTGCGTCAATGCCTGCGCCCCTGCGTCACCGCCACCCCCACCCCTTTCCTTCTCCCCTGCTCTCCAAACTCTCACTTTTTCCCTTTCGTTCGCGTGGAATCGTTCCTGCCCACGGGGCGCTGACGCTACTGAGCTCATGCTAATAGGCTATTCTTCGCCCTCCTCCCCTCTTCCCCCTACTCACACACCCTCCCTCGCCACAACAGCCCCCCCTACACATAACACACACACACACACACACACACACACACACACACACACACAAACACACACACACACATTCACACACACTTCCTGGTTTTATTTGTACTCCGGCCCGCTGGGGCACCGCTGAACCGCAGAGGCGGCGGCAGCGGCAGCCGCAACATCTGGGGGAAACTTAAGGTGGTCACGCAGGTTTTCCAGAGGCTGCGGCGCAGAGGAGCCCGCGGCTTCCCGGGGCAGCCGTAGGACACCTGATGGCTACGCCTCTCGAGCCGCTGGGGAGTGAGCAAAGGCTGGGGTGCAGTTTGAGCTGAGCGGCTTCATAACGCGGATAGTTCCGCGGCGCTTTTGGCCCATCCAGGGAGCACCAGGATTGGGGGCGGGGAGTGGGGAGTCGCCAAGGGGCTCCTGCAGTCTGGAAGGGAGCCACGCCGAGGGAGGTGGGGCGGTTGGACCTCTTCGCGGCCAGAAAGGGGGGACGCCTCGGAACCCTCCCTCCCCTTGTCCGAGCCTCTTCCAGCCCCCTGGGAGAAGCCCTGAGAGGCCCGCCCTGTTCGGGCCGGAGGAAAGCGAAGGGAGCTCGCTTTCTGTAGAAGCGGCGTTTGCTCCTTTGCTAGAAAGCGCCTCAGGCCCTCAGCCGCGCGGGTGGACAGGCGTGCAAAGTGGAGTCAGCGGCGACTGGGGCGGCCGCGGGGGGTGCGGCGAGCTACCACAGTGCTCCGGGTCCCTCTCCTGGAAGGGCTGGGCACACAACTTTATGCTCGCGGAGATACCCCACCCCGCCCTCTCCCCTTGTTTTGTCTTTCCCTCTTGGCTCTGAGACTGAGGTTTGAGAGCCCTTGTGCTTCAGAGGAGGGTTGAGTTATTTCTCTACAACTCGTGTTAGGGTACGAGTTGGTGGGCACTGAGGAGTGTCGAAAGTATTAGAGTTGGCCAAAGGTGAGGTTAGAGCACCTTTCTGCTGAAGGCGCACCTGTTGCCCGCTGCAGGGCTGTATTGTCTGCGATAGAAAGTGGGCGACGCCTCACTCTGACTTTCGGGATCCCTAAAGGGTTGGGTCACTGTCTACTTGTCCCCCCTCTCTTCCCCTTTCCACGCACCACGTCTTCCCTTGCACGTGGGCGCTGCAAGGGAAGAAGGGAACATGGAGAATAGGCCCTTCCCAGTCCCTTCCACCTTGGACTGTGTGTGTGTGTGCGTGTGCGTGTGTCTGTGTGTGTGTGAAGGGGGAAGGGGAGACAGAGAGAGAGAATGCTAACGCCAAAGGAGGAGGCCCTGGACAGGAAAAGGGAGAAAGGGGATATGCCTCGGGCTAGGGAAATCCCACCCTAATTGCCTGAGGCCTTTGAGCTTCTCGGGTCTTGGGACATCTGTCTGCGCTTCCGCTAATGGGGGAGACAATTGTGAGTGGATGAGGTTAGAACACTGCCAGGCACACCCCATCCCTCACTAGTCCAGGTGCCGGCTACCTGGCCCATACCAGCGTTCCCTTTCGCCGGGGCTTTTGTTGCACCCTCCCCCACAAGTGAGCAGCCGGGCGGCAGCGGTAGCCCTTGGTTTAGGGGAAGGCGAGGTGAGATGTCGCGGTGCTGCGGGCTGCGCGGACCTGTGTGGAGAGGTCACACCTCTTTCGAAAAAAAAAAAAAAGAGAGAGAGAGAGAAAAGAAAGAAAAAAAAAAAAAAAAAAAAAACCAAAACCCAAGCTGGCGACCAAGGTGAACCCAGAACGGTTCCCACCTTAAAATCGGCCCTGCTCGTGACGTCAGGTCGGAAATATACCAAAGCGAGAGCCGGCCAGGAGTCCAGGGAGCGCGGCGGCGCGACGATTGGGCGGCGGGCCGCTGACGCGCGCTGACGCGCGGAGACTTTAGGTGCATGTTGGCAGCGGCAGCGCGAGCCACATAAACAAAGGCACATTGGCGGCCAGGGCCAGTCCGCCCGGCGGCTCGCGCTCGGCTCCGCGGTCCTGCTCCCCTGCACAGCCGGCCGCCTCCTCCTGCTCTCTCCCCGCTCCTGGCGACTTGGTTACCATCGCCCCTCTCGCCCACCCCTCTCAGACCCTGCTACCAGGACTCCCAGAGGAAACTACACTTCGGCTGAGTTGAATGAATGAAGAGAGACGCGGAGAACTCCTGAGTAGGTAGAGCCCGTGCAGCTCGAGTTCCTTTATCCTTCTTTCGTCTTTTGCACGTCTCTTCTTTCCACATGTGTTAGTACAGGTTTTCTCGAAGTGGGCGCCAGAGGGTCGGAGCGTGATGGGGCCGGAGGACCGGGAATAGGTGCGCGCGGCTACGGCGGTCATTTGTCCGAACTCCAGCTTTGGCGCTAGGGGGGAGTTGGCTCCCAGCAGGCTTCCAGGCTTCTCATTGGTGGACGTGGATGGGAGACTTGCATAGTTTGGGGAGCTGTGGACTTGCCCGGGGGATATGTGGCCAAAGTTTGCTCTTAGAGTGGAACTGATTGTGACCATTGGACAAGGAGACTCCAAAGTCCTGTATATACGAGGGGCCTGGACGCTACCCACAAAGTGACAGGGCGAAAGTTCTTCAGTTTATGTGTTGCTTGGGAACTGTGTCACCGCGGCTGGCCGGTGTGCCAGTGTTTCCTGGGTATTATTGAATAAGGGGTGGTGTTGGTGTTGGTAGAGTGTCCTATTACTAAGTTGCCTGAAATTTCTGGTTTTGACACATGCCGTGCTTGTGTATGTGAATACGTCAGAGAGAGAGAGAGAGAGAGAGAGAGAGAGAGAGAAGGGAGTAAAGAGTACAGTTAGGAAGCTGTTAAGTTACCAGGAGATTAATATCCAGCACAGGCATATAGCTCTCAAAGGCTGTGGGTGTCGTGGGTCTCCTTTCTTTCTACTTTTTCTGATTAACCTTCCTCCCCAGGAAGCAAGATAATGGGGGAGTGGGGAGGAGAACAGAAGGAGTGGATGTTTGGCTTTCTTTTTCATTAGTAATAAGATTGTCGATGCTCTAGAATGCCTTCCAAGTGGCAACATTTGAAAATTACTCGTTTCCCTGACAAATAGGCAGATTGTGGACGGCTGTATAGGCGAGGTGTTCGGCTTCCAGTGTTGGGAAGTGCTTCTAACCTTGGTGCCAGTACTAGATAAGCTGTGTTTCCCTCCCTCTGCAACTGACCTAAGATGGTCCTGGAAAAGTAGGGTCTTCTTTTCCCACTCCTTGACCCTTAAAGATGTTGAAAGACAAGTTTCCTGGAGAAGTGAATGGCAATTCACCTGTATCCTCAATCCCAGTGTTCTGTCTTTTGACACTTAGGAAATCCAGATGCTTCCATTCAGATTTTCTTCAGGGCTGCCCAGGCCTTGTTAACATTCTGTAACACATAGGGATGGGGGGAGAGATTATTTTTCTCATATTATATTTTTGACTTCTACTTTCTTTACCCCCTCCTGAAAGAAAAACTACTTCTGCCACAGAAAAAATTAGGCGAAGTTTCCAATACTGTATTTCATTAAACTCTAGTTTCTTCTTATTTGGGTCTGAATGAAACTAAAATGGAAATGACACTACCTTCCCACCCCCACCTCTACTTCCATCCCCACCCCACCCCTACATCTTAGGGTCCAATTTATTACATCATAAGTATTAAGTAAGTACATGAAGTACCTTCTCTCCTTCAGAACTCTCTGTCTGCAAGGATTTACACATTGCAACGGGTGGCATTTTGTGTTGTTTACAGTCATCTCTTTTACACATTCATTTTAACTGCTGAGTTTGGTAAGGGCTACAAAGAATTGCCAATGAAATTATCAAGGAGGGCGTAGCGGGGCTTGCCTGGTGACCCTACAGATGCCCAGCTGAATCTGTCGGGAAAGTCACCCTGAAGCTTCCTGTGTCTGTATTTCAGGGAGGAGATCCGACAGGCTGGACTCCCCATTGCTTTTCTAAAAATCTTGGAACTTTGTCCTTCGTTGAATTACGACACTGTCCACCTTTAATTTCCTCGAAAACGCCTGTAATTCGGCTGAAGGTTAGTGCAACTTCATTTCTTTTTTCCCTCCTCCGAGTTCCCCGAACGTCAAGAAACAGGGCAATCCCATCTTCCTCAGCAAACTCTGTAAGTTAAGGTTTTCCTGGCCCATCATCTTCAGGAACAACATCCACAATGTGCAATTCAACCTTATTTCTAGAATGAGCTTGCTGAACCCAAGCTTCAGAGGAACGGCTCATATGAGCAGGACCGTTCGGTGTGATGGGGTGAAGGGGGAGGTGTTTGAAATATCCGGGAATAAAGACCCTCAAAAGCTTTCCAGCTCTGGGTCTTCCTTGGACCAGTCTTTCCATGCCCTGCACGGTTTTGCCCCGCAGCATTCGCTCTCCGCTCTTCCTCTCGCGTCCCTACATGCTCTCTGACCGCCGCGGGCTGCCGGTGTAGCTCCAGGTGTACCCGAGCCCGGGAGAAAGTGTTCAGTTGACCAGGCTGAGTGTATATTACCCTGTTTCATTTCCAGCCATGCCTTGTGTTCAGGCGCAGTATGGGTCCTCGCCTCAAGGAGCCAGCCCCGCTTCTCAGAGCTACAGTTACCACTCTTCGGGAGAATACAGCTCCGATTTCTTAACTCCAGAGTTTGTCAAGTTTAGCATGGACCTCACCAACACTGAAATCACTGCCACCACTTCTCTCCCCAGCTTCAGTACCTTTATGGACAACTACAGCACAGGCTACGACGTCAAGCCACCTTGCTTGTACCAAATGCCCCTGTCCGGACAGCAGTCCTCCATTAAGGTAGAAGACATTCAGATGCACAACTACCAGCAGCACAGCCACCTGCCCCCCCAGTCCGAGGAGATGATGCCGCATTCCGGGTCGGTTTACTACAAGCCCTCCTCGCCCCCGACGCCCACCACCCCGGGCTTCCAAGTGCAGCACAGCCCCATGTGGGACGACCCAGGCTCTCTCCACAACTTCCATCAGAACTACGTGGCCACCACGCACATGATCGAGCAGAGGAAAACGCCCGTCTCCCGCCTCTCCCTCTTCTCATTTAAGCAATCGCCTCCCGGCACCCCCGTGTCTAGCTGCCAGATGCGCTTCGACGGGCCCCTGCACGTCCCCATGAACCCGGAGCAGGCAGGCAGCCACCACGTGGTGGACGGGCAGACCTTCGCTGTGCCCAACCCCATCCGAAAGCCTGCGTCCATGGGCTTCCCAGGCCTGCAGATCGGCCACGCGTCGCAGCTGCTGGACACGCAGGTGCCCTCGCCACCGTCGCGGGGCTCGCCCTCCAACGAGGGATTGTGCGCCGTGTGTGGCGACAACGCGGCCTGCCAACACTATGGCGTGCGCACCTGTGAGGGCTGCAAAGGTTTCTTTAAGGTGAGCGAGGACGGGGCCCTGAGGAGGCAGGTAGGGGCCCCCTAGTGCCGGGAGCCTCGGAGGGCGCGCTCCTTCTGGGTGCAGGCAGCCCAGTCCTAGTTCGTCCAACTCCCGAGGTCTGCGGAGGCTTTCCTGCAGCCGCTCATGGCCTGTGGCGGAGGCCTCTGGGTGCATGTGGAAGGGAAATAGCTAGACCCGGAGAGCAGGGGTCGCATCCCCCTCGCACGCAGCCGACACCCCGGCAGGCCCCAGCCCGAAGTTGCAGGAGCCTGAGTTGGAAGAGGGTCATTTGCATGTGCTAGGAGCTGTCTTCTCTGTTCAGATTGAAATTGGTTAGGACAGAGAACCGTGTCTGAGCTAACCAAGTGGAACAGAATTCCCTATGGTCAAATTAAGTGATCTCTTTATTTCGCCATCCTGATTGAATAATCTTATCATTTTAAATAGAGAAGGTCTCCAAGGAATGTAAATAATATGAATGCCCACGGATTTGTATTTACTGAGCGTCTCCTTCTCCTTCTCTTGGCATATAAAACACAGCAAGGAGCGGCAAGGTTAGCTCAAATGTTAACGCTATCAATTTTCTCCTGTTAAATGCCCTGGGGGAGGAAAACGAAAAGAAAGAGAAAGAAAAGGAAAAGGAAAAAAAATAAAAGAGGAGTTGTGTGTATGTGTTTGTTTATGGGGAGGAGTGTAGATCCTAGCCGTTCAGAAATTGTTCCTGGATTCCCTGGGTTGCTGGATTTTCAAAAGAAAAAAAAAATCGGTCTATATTGTCTCCTTTTGCAGCGCACGGTACAAAAAAACGCAAAATACGTGTGTTTAGCAAATAAAAACTGCCCAGTGGACAAGCGGCGCCGGAATCGCTGTCAGTATTGCCGATTTCAGAAGTGCCTGGCTGTTGGGATGGTCAAAGAAGGTAGGTCCGGACAAGCAGCCCATTCCCTCGTCTGCGCCCGCGGGAAACTGCGGCTTCTATCCCAGTCGCATTTTCCACTTCCCGGCGCCGGGAAGATGTGTGTGTGCCGGGGGTGTCTCCCGGTTCCCCCTCATCCGCCTCCTGCCTTGCTGACCCCGCAGCTGCCTGCTTGCTCATCCTGCCCTGGAGAAAACAGCGGGGCCCTTCTCGCCTTCAACTCTACGACCCATTTGGAAGACGACATAAAACAACCCCACTTTTTTTTTTTTTTTTTTTTTTAAATGCTTCTCGTCAGTGAAGGCTTTACAAGCAATGGGACCCTGTGCAGCCTGCCCTGGCGCCGGGTGGCTGCGGCCTTCCCCGGGAGGGGCCCAGGCGACAGCTGGGTCCCGCTAGGGGGAGCGACGCTAACCCATTTATTCCTTCGCAGTGGTTCGCACGGACAGTTTAAAAGGCCGGAGAGGTCGTTTGCCCTCGAAACCGAAGAGCCCACAGGAGCCCTCTCCCCCCTCGCCCCCGGTGAGTCTGATCAGTGCCCTTGTCAGGGCCCATGTCGACTCCAACCCGGCTATGACCAGCCTGGACTATTCCAGGGTAAGAAGCTGGCGGGGGTAGCATGTGGACAAACCAACAGATGGGCAGGACCCCTTCCCACACCCATCACTAAGCCCCAGAAGACTCAAGCAAGGCTGTGGCTTTACAGCTCTGAGCAGAGCCACAGGAGACAGACAGAGAGACAAACAATCCATGTTACTGGGAGTGTAGGCATGAGGACAGACAGAGAAAAGAAGAGAAGACAGGCCACAGCGATCCCATCTCTGGGAGACCTCTCTCTCACTGCCATGGTACACGCATATACTCACACACTAATGCCTCTAGTGCCTAAAGCAGAGGCTGTGCAAAAATGCCCCCCACTTGGATTTTATCCCCAGTCTTCCATAGAGATGCTTTAATCCTCATCCTCTGTGGCACTGTCGGGGTGGGGAATGTCTGCTTGGGGGTCGGGAAAGGAAAGAGAAAGGTATAAGGAATGGCAGTGGTGTTGGGAATCAGGTGGTCAGATTCCTTTTTTACCCCAGCTGTGAGAAATGTGTGGGCTTTAATTGGAAGAAGTATGTCGGGCAAACCTAGAAGCCACTGCCATTTTATTAAGATTTGCAAAGGGCGTCTCTGCTCAAGACCCACTCTGGGACTGGCATGAATACTAACGTGTCAATTGTTTTGTGGAGATAAGAGTGAACGTTTCCCAGGGCTGGATGGCACTGTATTTAGTCTGTATGGAAATGGTAATTTACATATTTAAAGCAGCGACCTCATAGCACCATCCCTAATTGAATTAATTGCCCCGGAACATCTAATTTCCTTACTGGTCAGAGAGAGGTTTAATTGTTATAAAAACCCGGCTCCCCTACTAGAAGCAGGGTTAGCAATTTCACGGGTTATATATTTTAGAGAACCTCATTAAGTGCTTTTTAAAATGAAATTCCAGTTCCAGGCGAACCCTGACTATCAGATGAGTGGAGATGACACCCAGCATATCCAGCAGTTCTATGATCTCCTGACTGGCTCCATGGAGATCATCAGGGGCTGGGCTGAGAAGATCCCAGGCTTCGCTGACCTGCCCAAAGCCGACCAAGACCTGCTTTTTGAATCAGCTTTCTTAGAACTGTTTGTGCTTCGATTAGCGTACAGGTAATGGAGGAGGCAATCCAGGGAGGCTGGGAAAGGAGGAAGAGAGGAATCAAGAAGGGAAAGAAAGGAAAAGAGAAATAAAAGGGGAGAAGAGAGAGGGGCAGAAGAGGAAAATGAAAGAGGGAAAGAAGGAAAAGAGAGTAGACAAAAGGAAGAGAAGGGAAGGAGTGAGCCCAGAAGCCTTGGATGAATGGAATGGAAGTGGGATAGGGGGCGTTCTTGATTGTTATGAAATTAAACCCGTTCAAGGTCTACTGGTCTACATTTTATTAACTCTTCCGTAATTAGTTACCTCTTAAATCCCTCATTTATTGCTCTTCAAGTAATTAGTTGTTTAGCTTTTCTCTCTCTCTTTTTCTCCCCTCTCTCTCTTTGGTATTAATTGCAGGTCCAACCCAGTGGAGGGTAAACTCATCTTTTGCAATGGGGTGGTCTTGCACAGGTTGCAATGCGTTCGTGGCTTTGGGGAATGGATTGATTCCATTGTTGAATTCTCCTCCAACTTGCAGAATATGAACATCGACATTTCTGCCTTCTCCTGCATTGCTGCCCTGGCTATGGTCACAGGTCAGTACCTCACTTGCAGGGCAGGTCTCCAAAACTGCCCAGCAGGATTTGTCCCGGTTTTCCCTTGCTACTGATCCTCCCTGTTCCTGCCAGCTAGCTAACTGCTTTGTGTGTTCCTCTTTTGTTTCTGATTGTGTTTTCTGCAGAGAGACACGGGCTCAAGGAACCCAAGAGAGTGGAAGAACTGCAAAACAAGATTGTAAATTGTCTCAAAGACCATGTGACTTTCAATAATGGGGGGTTGAACCGCCCCAACTATTTGTCCAAACTATTGGGGAAGCTCCCAGAACTCCGTACTCTTTGCACACAGGGGCTACAGCGCATTTTCTACCTGAAACTAGAAGACTTGGTACCACCGCCAGCAATAATTGACAAACTTTTCCTGGACACTTTACCTTTCTAAGACCTTCTCCCATGCACTTCAAAGGAACTGGAAAGAAACCTAAAACTATCTAGAGGGGGGAAGTCATAAGGCAGAGATATCCCCATGAGCTGCCTCAGCTCTAGCCGGCCCCCACTCCCTCCACAAAATCCCAGTCCCTTAATCCCTAAAGAAACAAAACAAAACAACAAAAACTGTTGCTATTTCCTAACCTGCAGGCAGAACCTAAAAGGGCATTTTGGCTCCGGGGCATCCTGGATTTAGAACATGGACTACATACAATACAGTGGTATAAACTTTTTATTATCAGTTTAAAAATCAGTTTATTGTTCAGAAGAAAGATTCCTAATGTATGATGGGGGAAATGATGTTTGGCCATGTTTGGTTGTTGCAGTTAAGACAAATGTAATACATACACACACACACACACACACACACACACACACACACGCACGCACGCACACACTCACTCACACATTGTAAGGGGACCCACAAGTATTGCCCTTTAAAAGACTTCAAAGTTTTCTGCTGTAAAGAAAGCTGTAATATATAGTAAAACTAAATGTTGCGTGGGTGGCATGAGTTGAAGAAGGGAAAGGCTTGTAAATTTATCCAATGCAGTTTGGCTTTTTAAATTATTTTGTGCCTATTTATGAATACATATTACAAATTCTAAAAGATAAGTGTGTTTGCAAAAAAAAAAAAGAAAAAAGAAAAAAAGAACTACACAAAAAAGGGACAAGCATGTTGAGTCTAGGTTGAAAATGTTATAGGCACTTGCTATTTCAGTAATGTCTATATTCTATAAATAGTATTTCAGACACTATGTAGTCTGTTAGATTTTATAAAGATTGGTAGTTATCTGAGCTTAAACATTTTCTCAATTGTAAAATAGGTGGGCACAAGTATTACACATCAGAAAATCCTGACAAAAGGGACACATAGTGTTTGTAACACAGTCCAACATTCCTTGTTTGTAAGTGTTGTATGTACCGTTGATGTTGATAAAAGAAAGTTTATATCTTGATTATTTTGTTGTCTAAAGCTAAACAAAACTTGCATGCAGCAGCTTTTGACTGTTTCCAGAGTGCTTATAATATACATAACTCCCTGGAAATTACTGAGCACTTTGAATTTTTTTTTGTTTTTTTTTAATGTCTAAAATTGTCAGTTAATATATTATTTTATGTTTGAGTAAGAATTTTAATATTGCCATATTCTGTAGTATTTTTCTTTGTATATTTCCAGTATGGCACATGATATGAGTCACTGCCTTTTTTTCTATGGTGTATGACAGTTAGAGACGCTGATTTTTTTTTCTGATAAATTCTTTCTTTGAGAAAGACAATTTTAATGTTTACAACAATAAACTATGTAAATGAACAGAATTTTGTCTTCTTTCTGGGTCAGGAAAAAATGGTGACAAAACAGCAATATAAAATAGAATTGGAGATCGATTTAGGATAGGTCACTTATTCAACATTTGTGTTTCAAACGGACAGCCTACATCTATTCTAGCAAAAGAACCTGGGAAATTGAACTAATTGTCCAGAAAATTCAGTACAATATTTTTCCTCAACCAGAATTGTTGAGTGTGGCAACCTGCATTTATCAGAATCAATTGAGAATATCTTAATGCTTTTGTTAATTTTGCTAGGAAGTGCAGCTTTCAGAAGAGAAGTTTAGGAAACCAGATAACTTTTGAACTTTTGCAAAGTCTCAAGTCCTGTCAGGTTTTTGTCTTGCAGACTGTTTAGGGAGTATCTTTCTAAGATTCAGGAAGTTAACATGGATTTGAAGTGTGTTGTACTTTATCTCTGGTTTTTCCAATTCCTCTACTTATTACTGTTGTAATAAGGAAGAGGGGCCAAGCATTTTGGGCCCTTTGGACCTTGGGTCAGTGGTCTTGGCATACAGCACAACTCAGTAGAGCTGTTTCTTACAACTTTTTGTTGTCCTCCTTCAGTAGATAGTGATGAGGTACACTTTGAACTTTTAGCATAATACCTCCTTCTTTAAAGTTTTTCAGATAAATTATAAAATAGCTCTTTGTCAGCTCCTGGGTCTGGTACAAGTAAGTCATACCACAGCTTCCACGATTCCACCCATCACCAACTTTTAGCAAAGAAAGCAATAACGCTATAGACAGCGGCTGAAGGTCTGAGCTTCCTTCTACTCAAGGTCCTGGTCTTTGGGCAGTCAAGGTCCTGCCTAATTGGCTTCAGGCCCACGGTGAATTCCTAGTATAAGATGGAGACCATCTTCTTCGCTGACCCCAGGGAATTGCAGATGGCTTCTGGGGGCACTGAAATTTAGAAAGTACTATTGTTTATAAAACGCAAAGTTAGAAATTGCCAGTAAATTGCCACGAGAGAGTTCTTAGGTGGTAGTTTTTACTTTGCTTCCCTTCCCCCTCCTTTTTTTAAAGACAGGCTTTGTGCATGGGAGAAAAAGAAGGCATGTTCAGTTATAATTTAAGGTTATTTTAACCAGATATGTTTCTCTGCAGGTAACTCTGGGGGGACAAAAGTAGTGGTCACAAAAGGGATTAAATAATAAGCGAAATATCCAATTTCCTGGCTTTTTTGAAAAGATGGGGCTTGCCATTTCCTTTTATTTTCACAACTTCTGTCCAACCAAAGCATCACACTAATAAGCAGAGAAAAAGAAAGCTCTTTAGAAATGCTGGGAGTCTGCAGAGCCGTCAGGGCTCATCTCTCAGGTGCCTCTAGCCCCGAGACAATTACATTCCAAGTCAGAATCCTCGAGAGTTGAACCCAGAAACGAACTCTTCCAAAGGTTCTCCCTGAAGGAAGTGGCTGCACATCACCTGAGGCCAATGAGGTGTTAGATAGGGCGCCTCCGGAGAATTTGGGGTGAAAAGAGGGAGGAAGAACTCTCCCAAGCCCGCGTGCAGATTGCACTGGCGGCTCGTACATTCAGCTGTAATTTCTAAATTGCAAAGTGGCCAGTCCTTTTTCTGCTTCACAGTTATCGAGTCAATTTCCAACCGCCGGCTGCGCACCGGGTTGTAGGAGGAAAGAACCTCGCAAGCATCTCTTCTGCATCTTCCGAGATCCCCGCAGTTGAGGACTTACACTGCCCTAGTGCTTCTATGAGTAAAGCCCAGGAAAAGCAATAGACACGCTGCGTTGCAAAATCCAGACGTTGCATGGGACTTCTTTAGAAAGAGATCAAAACTTTATAATGAAGGCTTCATATCACTCTCATCTTCCACGTCCTCTTAAGTTATCATGTATCGTTTCAGCTATGGAAAATGCATAATCATTGTTCTGAGGATATGACCATACACTTCTCTGCTCTGAAAGGTCTAATTTTAAGTCTTCACGGTGTCTAGACTCACTTCGAGTGGTTGCTTAGAACGCCCTGGCTTTATGGAGAGATGCCTTTAATTCAAAGCACGGGTGAGCAGAGCTACTGCCTGCTACTTGGGTTATGCTACTCAGCCCGTCTAGGCGACCTCCGCAGTCTCTCTAGGCGCTCAGGCGACCCTTGCTCGGATCTTTCGCTGGGGTGTGGGGTGGGGATGGGAGACAGAGAGACGGAGCTAGACAGAGACAGAATAGTGAGAGGAGAGGGAATTTAGCATTTCTGGTTCTAACAAGAGACGCGCCTGACCCAGGAAGGTGATAGCACCCTGCAGTGACAGCAGCACCCTATGACCTTACCACGTGTATTTCCTTTTCGTGCACGACTCCGTTTCTAGAGAGTTTGGGTGCCCCCTCCACTAAAAATATCAATCACGAGTCTTACGGGACACTATTTCTCAGCGTGCAAGGGACCCGACGGGGAGAAACACATATTCTTGCCAACTTAAGAATGTCACTTGAAGGTTCAATTTCACTTTGCCTTGAGACTCTCTTGGCTTTGTTGGTGTCAGTGCGTCTACACGAATATCCAATTATCTAATTATATTTTAAACCTAGGCGTCGGCAGTGAACACTTCCAAGATATGAACAGGTCTGTGATGGAAAAGTTGTATTTTATGGTAATATTTTGATCACAGAGTTTTCCAGGACAGGATACATTTCCATCCCGACAGGCCCCACACAGAGTACCAACACCAGAGCACTTCTAGGCACGTAGCGTGTTGCGCATCTTCGCGCCGCAAGCCCCGCGCCAACTCCGCACACACGTCCGTTTCCCTTTTTATCCGCAGCGCGGCAGCGCGGAGGTGGCCTCGGAGAGTGAGGGATGAGGGTCTTCCGGGCCGGCCTCGCCTCTGTCGGTGAGACAGGCGCGGGTCTGGAGGCCGTGTGTGCTACAACCACCTTAAAAATGGAGAAAGATTCTATTAACGCGCGAGAGCGAAAGAGGCTGTTTGGTACCGCGGATTCAACAACTTTCTTCAGTATTATTTTGCTGTTTGAATAGAAGTCTGGGACGGAGTATGTATTTCTAAGACATCTTCATAAGGCTCCCCCCACCACCCTCCACCTGTCACCGCTATTCGGGAACAGGAACTATCGCTCCGTGGGCGCGCCCGGGAGTTTCTCACAATCCAATTCCTGTGCACCCGCTGAGCCAGGACCTGACTCAATTTTAGAGTCCCACAGAGGAGAGGTGGGGTTGAGGGGGGTCCCAGCCAACTCCAACCAATCGTTCCTTCCCAGAGGTCTCGGCAACTCCTAAAAAGGGCGCGCCTGGCAATAATCTTTGGCAGAGGTTCTGCTTAGATCCGTGCATGTGACAGCAGTGGAACCAGAGCGATCACGATTCGTATAGCCAAATTGGGGTGGGGGGCATTCAGTCGGTATTGGCTGACTTTACTGAGAAAGAAAGATATGAATTCCAAACAAGGTCATCATTTTCTAGCAATTCGATTTTAATAATCAAATAAACGCAGAAATCCAATTTTTCATTTTTACTTTTAAATTTTACTAGAAATCCCTACTTGGACATCACACGTAACCATTTAGGACAGTAAGGCTGTTATTTAAAGCCATTTTCCCTCAGTATATATCCTGAGCACGACTGGAAACGACCGCCGGGTCCCGCAAGGACTTTTCTCCCACTTTAATCTTGGCGTTTCCTTAGGGAAAGTACAGCTTCGGCCGGGTCGGAGGGCGCCTCCTTGAGCGGTGGGTGAGCAACAGCGCTGGAGCGCAGGGCCCACCCCACTCCCGGGGCGTAAGGAGGAGAGCAGCACCCCTAGTTCCCAGCCGAGAAGTGCGCTCCCGGCCCAACTGATAGCGGCGGGAGGACTCGGGAGAGCGAGGCTCTAGCCGCTTACTCGCCAACCCCCCCGCCCCCCACCTCCCCGCTTTCTCACTTGGCCCCCTTGTAGCATGGTCTGATTTCGAGGCCCCAGGATTACTGAAGAGAACATGCCTTCTTGTGGTTCGGCCGAGGGTGAATGTGGAGACGCAAGCGCTCCCACTGCCCATCGCGTTTTGGAGACTGAGAGTTTGAC